CTACAGTATTTTTATAGTCTTTATTTGACAGTTAAAATATATGTTTATCAAATAAACTGTAATGTTACAACTAATCATGGATCCCTTTAAAGTCAATGTGTAAAGTTTAGGTTCTAACTTGTACTCTGTATTGGTACTTGTACTCATTTTGAGAAAAACTGGTATTGGGACAACCCTAATCAGGAATAAGAAAGACTTTTTTCYCCAAAAGGAATATGGCAAACCAGCCCAGGTTTACAAAATCTAATTTGAACAAAGCTCACATTTTAATTATCTATTGGACAGATGAGATCACAATTTACAGCATCGTTTTTGGCACAAACCAAACAACGTGTTGGGAGCATAAAAACCTCATAAAAACAGTCCCACTTGGCRGTGGAGCTGCTGATTTAGGATTGTTTTGCAGCCACAGGACGTGAGCACCTTGCAGCCACTGAGTCGACCATGAACYCTAAAACATTCTGGGATCAAAGGTCAGAAGCCATCTGTCTTGACGGCTGAAGTTTGACCCGAACCGGGTTATAAAACGGGACAATGATCACAAGCGCGGGAAACAAATTTACAACGGAACGGCTGAAAGAGAAAAGAATCGCAGCCCTGCGACGACCCGGAGTCCAGACCTCGACCTGATTAAAATGCTGAGGTGAGACTTTAGGAGAGCTCTGAATACAAATGCCTGCAAACCTCTATAAACTTGAAGCAACATTGTAAAAACAGAAAAAAAAGGAGTGGGGAGAAATTCCTATACAACAATGTAAGACACTAATAAGGCCATAGAGATAACCATTACATCACTTACTGCAGTTAACTGTCAAGAGACACTTCCTGTTAAGAGAAGGTGGTTTAGGTTTTAGTAACTATTTGTTTTGTTCTTTAATTGTTTATTTGCTTGTGTTTATAGGACACCGTGTGGACCGGATGATTTAAATCTACCATAGAAGTGAAGGAAAGTACAGTCTAAATCAAAAATTATTCTAACAAARCAACAGCGAGTTACCGTCTTATAGTTCATATTTGTAGTGAAGAAAATCAGCTCCTTTCAGCGGTGACWACCCTTCAGCCGGGGGTCATTATCGTACGTAGAGCAGACAGTTTGTGTCGGTGTGCAGAGAATAAACAACAAGCATTTCCATTTATTCATGGCCTTAATCAAGGATGAAAACAGTGCTGAGTAAAAAAAGAAAAGGGGGGTGGGGGGGATTTGGCATGGCCTGTGTGCCTTTCCTGAGCCTGAAATCTCTTTGAGACGGTCAGTGTTTGGTAATGAGAGGGAATGAAAACTGTGGCGAATTAGTAAATGTGTCTAAAGGTGGGGGGTGGGAGTGTGAGGTGTGGGGGGTTGACATTAACAGGCTGGCGTGGAGAGGAGCTGGCAGCAGCTAACCTCGCAGCTCTGACGGTAAAAAGATCCTCTTTGGTGCTCTGAAGTTTAAACTCAGTTATGTTTGACAAAAACCCGAAATTTGATTCACAAATAGTCTAGTTTCTTTTAATTGTGTCTTTTAGCCAAAGTTAAGCCTTTTTCAAATCATCTTGAGATGGAAAAAGCCATTCATTACGACTCTAACACTCATTATGTCAGGATCTCCCAACCCTTCAACTTGTTCAAAATGTTGCGGCCTGTCTTTTAACTAAAGGCTGATTCTTAAACGTCATCAGTGATTCCGACCTTTCAATCTTTTTCTTACTATTTATACTGACGTAGCAGGCACAGGGGATAAATCATCATAATCTTTACCACAGCATTCCTATTGTAGCAAAAGCCTACATAACCAAACAGATAAAGAAAAACAATGAAATTTCTTATGCCTTACTCTCTATCAACTTTTTCCCTTATTATGTATATCTTAGAGATGTATTTTATCAAGAAAATCAGGTAAAAACAGACACCAAAAATCTAAATATCTGATGTTAAAATATGAAAAGAATACAGACAAAGACAATTTCCCATTGTAAAGTATTACCTTTGGGGCCAGATAAAATGTTAACGAGGGCCAGATTTGGCCCATTGGCCTTGAGTTTGACACATGTGTGCCAGACGCCAGCAAGGCATGGGACTTAGGGTGTATTCACACCAGGAAAGTTCTTTGGTCTGCTTGTTTGGTCCAGACCAAAAGTGGACTATATTTTTTTCGTTTGGTGCGGTTTGCATTCACATTGTGCTTTTTTGCAAACAAACTTTAACTTGTAAACAAAGCTACGAGGGTGACGATCATTGCTCCCACTGGACAGAAAGGACGGGGGCGGGACTGAACGTGTAGACCCAGAAAAAAACACGGACGTTCTGTGTGCTGCGGTTCTGATGTGCACATTTATGCTGTTAGTACAACTGCAATGCCATTTCAAGTAAATCATAAAAATTATTTTAATATATAATGGCACTTGGACGTTCTATTCTCATTTTGTTTGTACTGTTTCTAATTTGCACYGTTGAGCACTTATATAAGGCTTATATAAGTAAATGTTGCCTGATTGAAGGTATTTTGAGTGTGTGAGCTCAGACCAGCAGCTGGGCCTCCTGCGTGGCGGGACAAGCAGGATGGCGAGGACAGAAGTGCGTCACTTCGAATACCGTGACAGCGGATGATTGAACAACACCAGTAAAGCGAAAAGGGACAAGAAACCTTCAAGGCCACCGACAGGAAACTGCATCACATCCAGGAGCAGCTTCCTGTGACCCCGGCAGGCACAGGAAGTCAGCTCTTTATCTCCAGAAACGTCTCACAAAGGAGTCGTGAATGTCAAGGTCACGCTGCGGAGGAAACACAATTCTGGCCTTTTGATTCCTGCATTCCTCCAGGTGAGGCTTTGTAGAAACGTAATCACGACAGTTGGTACTAAAGGTTATCTGTTCATTTGTGGTTCTTATGACAGCGTCTCAGGACCACCATCTGCTTCGCCCGGTTCTTTAAACCATCGCGGGTCGTTCTTTCTGACAGCTTTAAATAATTTGACAGACGTCTTGTTTTCGTTTGAACCCCTACCATGACCACACAGTACATGTCAGAGAAGGCCCCGAGTCTTTRGGGTACAACTGCAATCAGATAGTGAAGCTGATATATGAATGATGAACTTGCAGTGTTTTTGTTGGAGTAAATGGCGTCTCTTTGACTGACAGCTACGCTAACTGAATCATACTTATCTCCAGTCTTTGCTGTAAACCCTGCTGGTCATACCGCAGTGTGGGAGTTTTGTCGGCCTAATTAAAAATTTGACTTGATTTGCCCAACTTGAGCATCAGAAGCCCAAATTTGTGTGTTGTACAGTTGGGACTGTCTCAGGCAGTTTTTGTGAGGCTGCTTTTTTTTTTGTAATGTCGATTTAAATACAAAAAAAAAAAGATTTTTTCTGACCTGTAAGCAGAAATCTCCATGTCTCTCGCCATCTTCTCGTAGAGCAGCTCCTTGTTGTCTTCGCACTGCTCGTTCATCTGCGCCTTGAGCTCAGCCTCCCGCTGTTTTATTTCATCTATAGCACACTGGATGAACAYGCACACACATGGTGGGACGTACACGGGAGAAGGAGATGCCACGCTGCAATCAAAAATATCCTCTCCTTTACCTCCAACTCTTCAACTTCGTCCACGTGTGCAGCCGTCTTCATCTCAACCTCGTCTTCCAACTCCTGCTTAAACTTCTGGAGCTCAGCCAGCTCTTTCTGYAGCTCTGAAATCTGCAGGAAAAACAGAATGAAATTAATTTCACATACACCTGCAAAACACACGGTAATTATATCAGTTTTTTAAATGTAATTTTCCAGTGKTGGACATTGTTCCATGWATCAGCTAACAGCTAATAGCAGAACAAATTTTTCATTCATAATTCCCGCTAAATTAGGTTTTGCCACCTAAGTTCGCTAACAGCTAACTAACGAGCTAACATCAACAGGTTTSTGTCAATCCCACCAGTCTTCAGCTGGAAGGAGACAAAGACRTGCRACGCAGACTGAGGCACAGTCATTTTAGCGGTTAGCGATTAGCTGTTAGCATCAGCCTCTACTATTTTTGCTTTTCACATTTTTAGCATAGTTAGCAGGTCATGAGTTAGAGATGCTACATTTTGGTTAGCTGTGCCTACCAATGTAATTTTCCATTTATGACCTTTTTACAGTTGAACAACACGGCTTTAGAGAACCGTTAGCTAGCTTACATAAAAAGCTAATACAATACTTAACCTTACGCCATATTTGTGCACAAGCATCATACAGTATTTAACTTGTCACATTGTTTGCTAGTAAATACAATTTTGGTCATATTTATCAGGTCTTTTAAATATTAAAACAAAGTAAAAGGCAACAGCTCTCATACAGCTTTATGTGGAAAACTGAGTGAAAAAAATGGATGGATACAGAAAAAAAAATGGTGCTTTTGATTCCCGACCACTTGAGTACCACAAATCCAATATTTGCTTGTCTTTTTGCACTAATTTGTCTCCTTTAGAGCTTTTTATCAGCGCTAGCAGCCATGTGAATACAATAACCCCCCACAATGTGATCCAGATGGAAATATCTAAATGTAAACCTAATGGATTGCCATCAAAATTTGTCCAGACGTTCATTGTTTCCAGATGACGACTTACGCCGACTTTAGTGATTCCCCCTGACGATTTATCCAGGCTTTACCACAAGGTTCACATTTGTGGTTTAGGGGCGAAATATTTTCACAATAATTGGATGAACTGCAGCGGTCAGTGGCTGTAGGAACGTTAACGCTCACAGCTGCCTTCTACGACTGCAGATAGAGGAGTTTCAGCTTATAAAACCAAAATAATTAAACTGGGATTATTTCTCTTTGGGTGGGACACCCTGAGCTTCCATTTCCTGATAATGTATGATAATTATTGTCTTCGAAATTACGCTGAAATTGAAGACTGACCAGCACAAGCTAAGTGAGGAGCATCCCTCACCTCCTCTGTCTGCCTCTGTGATGTCCTTCATGAGTAATTACAACAATCACAAAAGTTCAACAATTAGCTGTCACGACCAGATGGAGATCCAGCCGGTCCTGCTCGTATTTCAGTGAGATCATGTGCGCAGAAGACAAACCTGGTTACTGCTCACAGGCTCACGATGACTTCTCAAACCGACCGAGCCAAATTTGACCGCTCTCCTCACGTCTGCCTGTCATGATAAGTGGACGGTCTGTGTTTGTATATGCGAGCGGCGGCGTACGACGCCATCACCGCCTGTTCTATTATATACACTCCTGAGTCCTGGCTGATTTCACTGCAATCTATTTGTTTGGCCATGTTGTGTTTCGGCGAGAAGGCAGAACCCGGAGCATCCATCACGGGCCGAGAGAGAGAGAGGAAACAGAGCAGATCGAGCCGAGCTGTCCATTCGTCAGGCTGGAGTGACCCGATCGGGCRGGGTGCTGTTAGAGAGACGAGTAGATGATGTCGGAGGAGTCCTGCTGTGGTTATGTTTATTTAAAGAGCTGGAAGTAAAGCCGCAGCCGCAGTAATAAGAACCAAACCACCGTGTTGGTTACAGATGTGGTCAGGTGCCAGCTGTGGTGAGACCGCTGATGGATGCTAACGACCGAGGAGGTTTGTTTTTAATCAAGAGACTTTACCTGAATCTAATTATATATCTCTGAGCCGCCATGTCTCTTTCTTTTAATTACTAAAGAAATCTAAAGGTGGTGCACATCTGTACGGGAAGTTTTGAGGCGTTTCTGTCTCTGCAGCCTGTCTGAAAGAGCGAGCTTAATAACTGAAGACAGGGAGGGGTAATAAATCCTGTTTGAGTGTCCTGAGAGTAAACACTCTGGTCAGCTGGATCCCCCATGCTGGAGCTCTGCTGTCACTCAGCTGCTCTCCTCCCTTCATCATCACGTTTTAGCCCTCTTCCATAGCCATTAGACTTAAAATTATTAATCATCTAAGTAAAGACAGRTAAAATAACAATAAAGTATGGTAAAGTCCATTAGCCTTATACAATTAAATTTGTGACACAAAGCAAAACATGTCTGTCAAATTAAATTGTTTAAAAGTGCATTTCAAAATAAAGTTGTACTTGTAAAGAACTCACAAATGCAAGTACCGGTACTTTATCTGGTAAAAGTATCCTTACAGGTTTAGTTTGGTGTACACTGACAGTATTTTTGTCATTTTTTTGTCAATAAGAATGAAAAAAAGACTAATTTTTCCATGTCAAATATATTTAATTATCTCAACAGACAGMCAGCCCATGTTCCCATGTTACAGTGAAATATTTAAATCACTTTTATTTGCAACAYTGAACTGAGGGTTAAGAGGTAACTCAACCAAAATTCTTTTGAAATGGTAATTTATTTTTTAATATTCACCAAAAATCTTTATTAGAATTTTAGAGATGTGCTTAAGGCCTATGTGCAAATATTTCAAATTAAATCTAATCAATTTCTCATTTTGACTTGAAATTTAAAAATGTCAGATTTCAGAACTGGTTGAGATCATCTTGTTCAACTCATCTAGAGAAATAACCAAACAGTTTCTACAAATACAAAGACACTGCAGTGATGGTGCTTAGTTTTACATCTGTGTAAATGTGACCTCCATGCAGACGAGTCATTAAAGGAAAAATCTTTGCAAATGARCGTCTAAATAAACCTGATATGTTTCGTGAACGTTCAGGTTGTGTTTGGAGAAGAAATGATCCAGACCTTTAAAAAAAAAACGAAAAACAACATCTATCCATCTTGTTGAGCACAATCACGCTTTAAGGTTTATGTTTTTCTTGCTAAAATAACTGAGGAAATTCATATAGTTGCTGAAATACAGATGAGAAAAAAACGATATTGTTCTTATGTTTGTACAGAAACTACGATCCCACCGACAGAAACAAGCTAAATGAGCCTAAAGTTTTCTGGACGTTAWGAAAACTTATGAACAGTGTTCTATAAAATTCAGTGACTGGATCCAGATCAGAACTAAAAWATATATAAATCATAATAAAAACCAGTTTGTTATGTTTACACGTGTAACTTAGCCTCAGGTTCATTTGTTCATTTAGGGGGTTTTGTTACTGGGATGAATTCACAATACATCATAGATGCATTAAAAACAAAGTTTTAGAATAACATCACTAAAATAGATTAAAAAAGATGAACAGCCAGTAAAAGGCACAAAACATTCCAGCTTTCAGGTTTGTTTCTGCACAATTCCCTGTCGGCCTCGAGATTTTATTATAAAAAGGCAGCAAAAAATTAGATAACCTTCAAAAAAATAAAATCTCAATTACAAATATTGCTGCAGTTTGATGTTATCTGTCATGTGTTTACATAAAMCTCCTCATCACTCTGATATTTAAATAAATAATCTAATCTAAGACTCACTTCATTCCAGAGAAATATCAAAAATTTGTTATACAGAAGCCTGTAAGAGATGTTTAGATGTTGGAGAAATCAGAACTTAAGAAACACAAATTATCTGCATTAATTAAACTTTGTAAAAAAATTAAAATATGTATTTTTGTCTGTAACATTCTGTTTTAATCGAGTCAGGATTTTATTTTTACCATCGGTCTTTTAAAGAGGAGACAAAAGAATAACAGTGAAGCTCACTCACCAGCGTCTTCAACTCGTTCACGTCATTTATCTCTGGCAGGTCTCTGACCTTTGACCCCGCAGTTCCTCCCACTTCCTGTTTCTTTCCATCACCTTTATGAGCCACAGAAGAGGAGGACGCACCGCACTCAAACTGGAGAAGAAAGAAGTCGGGAACCAGAATCATAATTAGATTAATTGACGGACTATTTTTACATTACACAAAACTCGACTTGGTGTCACTGAAGTGCAGAACATTTTTTATTTGTCTTATTTATCCTTTATTTATCCAGGCAAATCTCTTGAGACTCATTGTCTCATTTAGTAACATGCAATGTAAACAAAGGGATGAGAAAACAAACATTTTAAAGGAAAAATGAAGCAAAATAAAAAGTATGAGAATGTAGACTAAATAATTCAATGTAAACTAACTGATAATTAAGCTACATTTTTAYGCTACTATTGCAAAAAACAAGTAATTTAGTGAGCAATATTTCAGATGAAAAACAAAGGGAGAAAGGGAGCAAGGTGTAAATGTTTGCATGGAGAACACAAACATAAAACACAACAATAAATGGGACTTTCTCTGGCAGCGGAGTCACGGTGCTGGACGGGCAGAGCTCTCTCTGTGTTTGGACCTAATTTGTAAATAAATGGAAAAAAGACGCAGCTGAAACAAGTAACACGAGGGCACACAGGTGTGTGGGCGACAGCCAGCAATCACCATCCATGTTTACAACCGGCAACAATCATTTTAGCATCGAGACAATCGTCCCTCATGACGGAGGACAGGAGCAGACGGGACGCTGTCCAGCTGGGGAGTCGGAGTGAGGCAGAGGGAAAGAATAGATGGGATTTAAGAAGGAAGAGAAACACACYGACACATCCAGTCAGACACATACAGTACATCTATATAAATGTACCCAATAGTCTTCTCTAATATCTCCCCAGACACACACACACACCAGCGTCCACTGCAGAGCTGCTGGGAAGCCTGGGAAGGCGGCCTGCAGTCTGATTACATCTCTGACCTCTGATCCTGCAGACATCCTCACCTCAGAGGGGGGTCAGACCGACCGGAGTTTGGGGTCTGACCCCAGTGGTCTGCGACGCTCACACAGAGGTGGACAAAAGCGGTGGGTTTTGGGTCGAGGACCCTCAGCTCCGATTCTCAAGTTCTCCTCACGTGTTGTGTTAAGGAGGTAAAAACAACACGGAGGAGGATCGCTGCGTGATTTGTGAAAGCTGAGATTTATGTCCGGACCTGACCAGGGCCAGTTCTGAGGGGTGGGGGATGAGGTGTTTTTATTCAATTCGAGTGGCTGAGCAACTCTTTTTAGAAAAATATGATGTTTTGTTCTGTCTCACTGGGTCTATCTTCTGCTTTTGATACCGTTGTTAAAGTTTTGATCAACAGACTTAGAAATCATACTGGGTTATCCTGGTTCAGTTCTCAAGTAGTCACTGTACCTGTCTGATCGAAGTTTTAATGTTTCTGTAAATGGTAACATGTCAAACACTACCAGGTTGACTTGTGGTGTACCCCAGGGTTCTGTTTTTGGGACCTATTCCATTTTTCCCTTTATATTCTCCCCCTTATGCAGGTAATTCCGCCATTTAGCAATGTGCAATAAAGCTCTATGCTGATGATACGCAGCTCTACCGCTCATTCAAACAAAATGAGTTTCATAAGTTAAAGTCTTTAACAAATTGCTTAGCTAGCATTAAACAGTGGTTAAATGATTATTACTTGCAAATGAACTCAAATCAGATGGAAGATACTAAAAATTAAAGTTTATTGGTGTTTCAGGTCCAGTCGGCTGCGAGACAGCAAACCCACGTGGAAAGGCGGGCTCACATAACGCCTGTTTTAGCTTCCTTTCATGGGCTCCCAGCTCAACTTAGAATTAACTTTAAAATTTTAGTTTTAACTTTTCAAGCCTTACATGAACAAGCTCACACTTTACCATCTCACAGATTGAGGTCATCAGGTCAGAGGTTGATGTTGGTGGTACCTCGCACCCATTTTAAACCCTGTGGGGATCAGTTGTTCCAAACAGTTGCACCCAGTCTTTGTAATGCATTGATTTAAAAAAAATCTTCTACAAACAGGCTTTTAGCAAGTTTTTGATGCATGTATATTCCCCTGTTTTAGTAGTATTTCTTATGTTTGTAATGTTAAATTTTTCTTGCTTTTATTTTATTTCTATGAAAGGTGCTACTGTACATAAATAAACTTCACTTTACTTAAAATAAAAACTGGCACTAAAATCCAAAACAGAAGTGTTAGTATAAACAGTTATTACAGGAAAACAAAATAATATATACATAATGATGTGTATGACAGTAACACGGTTCTGTTTTCACAAGGCCTGTTTAGAAGCAKGTGTGAGTCCAGAAACAGAAACAGTGTTTTTTTTTTTACTTCTTCTTGGCATGTTTTGTGTCTGAAGTTGTACCTGGAGGCTCTCAGCCAGCTGGATGTAGAACTCCTTTACATTCAAGGCCGGAGTGACGTCAGGGCTGCCAAATCTAATCAGCGCCGCTCCCAGAGTTCTTTCATCTGGCTTCAGCAGACTCCCTACTTCCTGTACATGTAACATATACAAATACACACCGGTGATAGACGTTTTGGTAACACACAGACGTTGGCAAAAAAACACTGATCAAACTGGAAAACTGTCCTGTGATGTGAAATTACGACACGTTTTGGGCGAATCAAACTCCCAAAGTTCACAGAATTCAACCTTTAATACTATACATGAAACAATTTWATTGTGGAGAAAATGAACGAACATAATAAAACAGCTGATAAAACAAAGAGAACTTGTTTTCATGTGGTGTTTKAGCCGTGTTTCCCACACCGTGGGTTACGGAGCAGGTTCCAGAGGGAGCGGTTTTAAACGCCGGGCGGCTCTGCGGAGGAACAACAGAGTGATGGAGCTGCTGCTGGGCTGCTGGGCCGCGTCTGTCATCTTCTGGTGAGGAGGAGAAAACTCCTCACAGAAGGGTGTGTGCAAGAAACAGACCCGTTTTAAAAAGAAGCATTTCACAGTTTTAAGCTCCTTTTTCTTACATCCACATAGTTATCTTCTGTTTTACRTCAAACAGGACAAGCCTTCAGAGCAGAAACGATTTTATTTTGTTTTGTGAGCGTAGCTGAACAAGACTGAACAGATGCTAGCTGTGAACTAGCTGTCACCACTTACATGTACCCGGGAGTTTGTCTCAGACATGAAGTCGAACAGAAACTACAATGTTCATGAAGTTAAATATTTTACAATCCTTTCTGATGAGTTTCTCTGATCAACTCGTTTTGGTGCTGTTTCTTTAGCTGGATGGACAAGTCTTCCATTGTATTAATACAGCTAAAGAAACAGCACCAAAGGAGTTGATCAGAGAAACACCTCAGAAAAAGGGCTTTTGTTTTCTTAAGGATTGCAAATTATTTAACTTCATGAACATTATTGTTTCTGGACTGAATTAATTTGCAAAAAAAAAAGTTTCTGCGCAGCCATATAGTCGTAAACCCCTCTATTAAAGTACAATGGGTTGCTCTAGAACAGGGGTGTCAAACTCCAGTCCTCGAGGGCCGCTATCCTGCATGTTTTAGAGGTTTTCTTGCTCCAACAC